GCCCGCTGGCAGATCAGATGTGGCAGGAGTGGAGTGAGTCGGGTAGGAATGCCATGGAGGAAGTATTCCCGATCAAGGAGAAGCAGGAGAACGAGGGGGGGGGGGGGGGGGGGGGGCGCTTCCCAGTTGTTACGTCGCTCCCTGCTGGCACAAAGGATGAAGTTAAGAGTGGGCGTGGTAGAGTCTGACGCGCGGGAGAAACTGGATGGGGGCCAGAAAGGAGCTGGCGCAGATGCAGATTTTGCCGCGCAAACACAGGACAGACCCGACAAAGGCAATACCAAATATGCAGACATGAGATTTCGTGAGCATGCGAGAACAACACCTTCAGCAATATGGACAAGCTCAGAGCGGAATATCAGAGGAATGTGGGGTGGGGTGGGGTGGGGGGGGGGGCAAAGAGGATGTATTCTTTCTCAGCGCGGATTTGGTGGAGTACAGAGGAATGGCCCCAGTAACTGGGCAAGCGCCCCCGCGAGGGCGGCTGGCAGCCGAGCCGATGGGCCAGGGGGAGTACGGGGCGGGGCATGGCGAGATGATAGCAGAGAAAATGCCGCCCCCGCTGGTTATGATGTTGGAAGCGCATGTGGAGAGGGACAAGAGAGACATGTTGATGTGCTGCTGGGGCGCGGCAAAGAGGAGGGCCGCCCCCCCATGGGGGGTGCCGGTGGAAGCTGGGTGGGCAGCAAGTGCGAGCGGCGGAGAAGCGAGACGACGAGGAGGACTCGGGCAAGTGCAGCTCGCTCTACAAGTACAGAGTGGGAAGGTTTATTTTACAGAGGATGGGTTGGGCATCGGGCAGGGCGTTGGGCAGGGCAGACAGACGACGATGGTGAAGCACTAGGCGGACAAGAAAGCGCACCACTTGGGGAGATGCGAGAAAACTGGGCTGGGCGCGTCGGCGTTGGAGAAAGAAGCGAGCATGAAGTGTAGGGGCAACCTGGGGGACATCCGTATCGGGCGTCGCCAATCTCAAGCCACTGCGTTGGATTGGCGCAGACCTAGTTCCTTTTTCAGCGGATAAAGGCAATCAGAAGAATGGGGGTTGAAGGACAAGAGTCACAATGGGAATTGATTCTCGCAGAGGTATCCATCGCAGAGGCGAGGCATCGAATCGCCCATGCTGGGCGCAGGGGGTGTGGGCTGTGGGTGGGGTGGGTGGTGGTGGTGGTGGTGGTGGTGTGTGTGTGTGTGTGTGGGCTTAGAAATAGAACCAGAGAGAACGCGAATATCTGCGTCGAAGCTATGCGCTGGAGAACAGGGCAAGCAGGGGTTAGCGCTATCGCCAGCAACAACGACTGCGCGAACACCATCGCGAGCACGAAACGCACCCCCCTGCTGGCATCGGTGCCCCCCGCGTGGGAAGAGGAGGGCCGGCAATTTGCAGTCGAGGTGCTACGCTGCGCGTCAATGAGTATGCAAATCGCAGATGACTGGCTGCTGCGTGCAAGGACTACGAGTGGCGCGTACATGGGATGCCCTTGCGCCCGTGGCAGTTCAATGACACCTGCAACCTTTGCGTGGGGCAATGACACCAGGAGGCAAGAGAGAGGGGCGATATTTAGGTCATGCATGATACAGTGGACCCCGTCAACGAACAAGAGCGCGAACTCTCGCTCAACGCGTTCATGAACGACATCGCCAAGAGCCGCGCAGTGGTCTCGTCTGGGCGAATCCCTCTGGAGACTGGAGTTAGCGAGATATTCTCGGAGCACCAGTTGGGGCTGGGCGAAAGCGGGGACTTCTCGGCTCGTCGGGGCTCCCAGTCCCAATCGGCCCCTGGCGGAAGCGAGGTTATCTCGTATCGCCCAAGGGCCCGTGCGACAAGAGTTGCGGAGCAGACCAATGCCACCGCGCAGCGCCTAGAGAGCCGGCTGGAGAGGGTGGGGTGGGGTCTGGGCCCAGCCACCTGGTGGCTCTTCGAGGGCCAGGGCGGGATGGAACCGCGAGGCAGCTGCAGAGAGAGAAGAAGATCAAGGGCGCGTCGGTGAGGAGGATGCGAGTATTGGGGCCTTGCCTGCCAGGACACCATGGATATGTTGAAGAGATAAAGAGGAGGTGCGAGGCCATGCAGTTGGCCTGCAGACAATTTGGTTGCTTCTGTCATCATATACAAAAAAGAACATAAAAAAGGGGGATGTGTTCCAGGCGTGTGCGCGGGAGCTTGCCCGAGCGGCTTGGCGGAATTCGTGCTGGAAGAACGCCGCTTGAATGCACTCGACAGTGCGGTGACATTACTTGTGAGAGGAATGGCAGGTGGCAGGATGAGCTGGGCAGAAGCAGATGGTAGGACCAGATGAGCCGGCCGTGCCCGCAGACAGTCAGGGGGGGCATTCGCGAGGTTTCTCGGAGTGCAACTCAGGGCAGCCAATGTGGGCGCAACAGCGCCTGCGTCGCCATCGCAATTGGGTGTTTTTTTGAGTACCGGCATGTACACTACTGCAGGGTGTCGAAGGGAAAAGAGAGTGATCGCCAGGAAGCCCGCCAGTGTGCTCCTCATTGGCCCTATCTCGTACCGTGACTCACAGTATGCTCCACCTCGGATGCACTTCGAGGGGGGGCGATGGTTACTTCAACAGAGTACCGGAGTACAGATGTGACGATACATGGGACTCTTTCGGAACGACCGAGAAATGAGCCGAGTGGGAGAGGGGAGCACGAAATTCAAACTGTAGACTATTCAGCCCCCCCAGCAACAGTCTGGGGTCTCGGGCCTTCCGTCTTTCCCTCCTCTCTTCCTTTTGAGGTTGTGTCGTCGTTTCCTCCCCCTCTGGCTTGGGCGCCCTTTTAAGCCCGCGCGTCCCCTCCCCTAGGGCGCGCGGAAGCAGCCGCTCGTCCCGCGCTGGCCCGAAAGGGTTCGCGATGTAAGGTGGCGAGCCTATCTTGCGGGGCCACTTCGGAGCTCGGTCTTTGAGCTACGTGGTATGCCCCTTTCCGGCCCTAGTGAGAGGACAGGGCTGTGGTACAACAAATCGCAGGGGATTTTGACTGTGGAGCGTAGGTCGCCTGAGTAGGTGCTCGCACGTTGTGCCCCGTTATGTGGGTGTCCTTGTCCTTGTCTTCCTAGAGCTTCATCGATCCGTGAGAGCCCCAGGACTCGAAGCTGGGCGCGCAAAGGGCGGAATTCGGCGCCTGGACTTCGGAGGCGTCCCCAGACATCTGATGTCCTGTTCCCACTTCTATTTTGTGTTGGGTCCTCGTTGCCACTCCGCAGCGCCAAGCGTCTCGTTCCTTCCCCCTCCCCCTTCCTCCTCCTCCTCCTCCTCCTCCTCCTCCTCCTCCTCCTCCGCCTCCCCCTCCTCCTCCTCCACCTCCTCCTAGTCATCCTCCTCCTCCCCCTTCCCCTTTCCTTCTTCCCCCTCCTTCTCCTCCTCGTCCTCGTCCTCCTCCCCCCTTCCTCCTTCTAGTCCTTGTCCCTCCTCCTCCTCCTCCTGTTCCCCTCCTCTCCTCCACCCCTCCTCCCCTCCTCCTCCCTCCTCCTCCCTCCTCTCCTTCTTCGCACTCCTCCTCCTCGTCCTCGTCCTCGTCCTCCTCCTCTTCCTCTTCCTCCTCCTCCCTCGTCCTCTTCCTCCTCCTCCCTCCTCCTTCTTCCTGCCCCGGTCAATGTCGGCACACCCATCGCGCGCTTTGTTTCGGCAAACACTTTACATTTTCCGTGGTCTTCGAAGAAATCCAAGCGCCCCAGTGGGAACTCCATTTCGGCACAGGGCTCAAACGTTTCGTGCCCCCCCCCTTAGGAGCTCTACGGGATGCCCCAGTGGCAGGGTTCACATGGTTACCCGCCCCAGTCCTGCACAGCCCTCACACGTGTGGTGCCCCCATGGGGAGCCCAATCGAAACGCCGAAGTGGCAGGGTTCGCACGATTACCCGCCTCATTTCGGCATACCGATCACATGTTGCGTGCCCCCCCCAAGGAAGCTCTAGTGAAGGCCCCTGTGGGAGGGTTCGCATGGTCACTCACCCCATATCGGCACACCACTCACATGTTTCGTTTCTCCAAAGGGGGTTCCACCGAAAACCGCAGTGGCAGAATTCGCACGATTACTCGCCCCATCTCGGCACACCGCTCACACCTTGCGTGGCCCTTTGGGAAGATCCACCGACGGCCCCTGTGAGAGGGTTCGCATGCTTACCCGTCCTATTTCGGCATTCTCCTCACACGGTTGGTGACCCTCTCGGGAGTTCCACCGAATGCCCCAGTGGCAGAGTCCGCACGGCCACATGTGGTTCCTTCCAGCTTCGGCACACCACTGACACATTTCGTGCCCCTACAGGGAGCCCCACCGAAGACCCCAGTGGTAGGGTTCGCACACGGTTCCCCACCCATTTCGGCACACTGCTCACGAGCTACCGATGGCCCCCGTCCTTTTGCGGGCCCCCATCCCCCCTCTCGCTTGCCTCTCGCGCTGCTCGAAGATGCTTATTGCTGAGTCCTGCACCAGGATATTTTTCCCCCGATGCGATGAGGTCAGGGCGCCCCCCCCGCCCCTCTTCTAGGAAAACGAACATTGACATAAACATGGAAACTCGGAGGTCCGCGCGGACTTCTTGGATCCTCGCTTGACCCCCCTCCCTGTCGTGCGGAGCGCGCCACGGGCGGCGCTGCAGGCGCCTCCAGGGGGCCTCCAGCGCGGATCCGAGAAATCCGCGCGGACCTCCGAGTTTTTATGTTCATGTCATTGTTCGTCCCCCCCCTCCCTCGCCCCCCTCTTTGGTCCAACCAAGTGCATACAGGGCCTCTGACGGCTACCAGGGGCCCTGAGGATTCCCAGGAGCGTGGCTTCCAGGTAGCCTCGGGCCCCCGCCCGCCGTCGTCGTACCCCCCCTCGTCGCCGCCGCCACCGCCGTCGTCGTCGTCGTCGTCGTCGTCGCTGTCGCCGCCGCCGTCGTCGTCTACGTCGTCGTCTACGTCGTCGTCGTCGTCGTCGTCATAGTCTTCGTTGTCGTCGTCGTCGTCGTCGTCGTCATCGTCGTCAGCTCTATTCAGTTGCGCCGCAAGGTCGCAGACGCTGCGCGGGGAGGGCGTGAAGTGCTCCATCAAGTCGGATGGGGGCCGCGCGAGCGCGAATGGTCAGGAGGGGGATAGGCAGGGGAGAGCGGACCCTCAGAGCTTGGCCGTCACTGAAAACAGTGACGGCCGATGCTTCGGCCTCACGTGAGGCGTTCAGTTTTCCGTTTCTCTTATTCATAATTTCCGAAGGGTTGACAATCACGCGCTTTTCTACCCATGCGTCCTTCTGGATGCTTGGCTCTGTGGTGGTTGTGGTGGCCGATGCTTTGTCGAGCCCGTTTTTTATTGCTTGGGGCATGACGGGCGTAATGGCCCCCGCCCCCCCCCCGTGACGTAACGCTCCCCCCCCAGTGCGTTCCGGGCAATGCCGCCGTGCGCATCGTGATCCGCATAGGTGTCCGCATAGGAATCCGCATAGGAGTCTGGTCCGCAGTCGTCGTCGTCGTCGTCGTCGTCGTCGTCGTCGTCGTCGTCGTCGTCGTCGCTCGTCGCTCGTCGCTCATCGTCGTCGTGCGCGCGGACGCAGCTGGATTTTTTTTTTTTTTGTTTTTGTTTGAATCCGGGCCGATGACGGCAATCATTTGGGGGGGGTGGAGGGGGCCGATGATGTCACGTTTTGCGCCAGCGGCGTCTGGGAATGCCTAGGAATCATCGAGGACGGGTAGCAGCAGCATGTCTGTGGCGATCTGCACCACAACGCCTGTGTACACCATAGTGCTTGCGTGCACCACGGCGCCTGTGTACACCACGCCGCCTATGTACACCACAGCAGCCGCGTACATCACAGCGCCAGTGTGTGCCACAGTGCCTGCTGGCACCACAAGCGCTTGTGTACACCACAGCGCCTGCGTACACCACATCAGCCATGTGCAACACATCCAACACAGCACCTGTGTACACCACAGTGCCTGCGTGCACTCGGCACGGCACCAGTGAATAGACAATTCTGCGGTGCACGCTGAGACGAGCACGTGCTCTGCAGTGCCGACCCGCACGACGGGGGGGAAGGGTGAGGGAGGAGGGGGAGGAGGATGAGGAGGAGGAGGAGGAGGAGGAGGAGGCGGAGGTGGAGAGGGAGGAGGGAGGAGGGAAACACGTCGCATTCTATTCTCAGCACGTCCCTGGCGTGGCGTTTAGCTGTCCGCAGCAGATCCTCACCGACATGCTCCTTCTACCTGTCCTGTGCACGCAGGCACTCTGGTGTACACCAGCGCTGCGTTGCACGCGGATGCTGTGGTGTAGACAGGCGCTGTGGTGTGCACAGGCGTTGCGGTACACGTGAGCATTGTGGTGTAGACAGGCGCTGTGTTGCACATGGCTGCTGCGGTGCACACATTCGCTGCGGTGCAGACCAGCGCTGCGGTGCACGCAAGCACTGCGGTGTACACAGGCGCTGTGGCGCGAGCACTGGTGTACACAGGCGCTGTGGGGCAGATCGCCACCTACATGCTGCTCGCGTCGTCGTCGCCGTCGTCGTCGTCGCTCGTCGCTCGTCGCTCATTGTCGTCGTGCGCGCGGGCGCGGCTGTGGTGCCCCTTCCCCCATGACGCCCGTCATCGCCGACGATGAAGATACGCGCTCGTCGTTGTCGCCCTCTGAAATCTGCATTCCTGGCCCCAGGGCCGTCAGAAGACAGCTCGGGATGGAAAGCCAGCCCAGGGGGAAGCTGTCGAAGCCCGTGGGGCCGAGGTCATGAAAGACGTGCAGAGCCCGAGTACTGGGGAGGCGAAGGAGTTGGAGGCGGCGGCAGGGGAAAGAAGAGGAGGAGGAGGAAGAGGAGGAGTAGGCAGGGGGAGGAGGGAGAAGGAGGGAGGAGGAGGAGGAGGAGGATGAGGAGGAGGAGGAGGAAGAGGAAAAGGAGGAGGAGAGGGTCGATGGTCGAGATTTGAGGATCGAGGCTTGAATCCTTTTTGGACCTCCAGACGCCGTCAGAAGCATCAAAAGGCGTTCAGAGACATCTGAGGCGACCCCTGTATGCTTAGGGGGTGCTCCCGTCTTCTTACGTACGGGTCGTTCTTTGAAGATGGATCTCCCAGATTCCAATCTTTCCCCAATGCTACAGTGTGAGTGCCTCACTACGCCAACAAGCAAAGGGGAGTTCTTCTGGTTTCATTTTTCGGGTGGTGGGCCGAAGCACAGTCTATAGTCTATTCCAACCGCCTTCCCGCTTAGCGCTTGCCACCAACTTCTTCCCAATGGCCTGGGGTCGGGCGACCATGCTGTCATGAACGAAGCGGCTGGCGTAGGAGACGCTCGAGGTCTTTTCTGAGCCAATGTCCAGCGGCCCTCGTCTCTGGAGCCTGCGCGGAGCAGCAGGAGAGACATGTTGGAAATCCTGCAACGCATCGTCTCCATCATCATCAACATCATCATCACTCATCACCATCATCATCATTAGCATCAGCATCATCATCATCAGCATCAGCATAAACACCATTATCATCATCACCGTCATCACCATCATCATCACCATCATCATCAGCATCATCATCAGCATCATTAGCGTCATCACCATACCATCACCATCATCATCAGCATCACCATCATTACCATCATCATCATCACCATCATCATCATAATCATCAGCACCAACATCATCATCACACTCATCATCATCATTACCACCATCACCATCATCAACATCAGCTACTATCACCATCATTACCATCATCATTACCATCATCCTCACCATCATCATCATCAGCATCATCATACCATCATCATCATCATCAGCATCAGCATCATTATCATCACCATCATCATCACCATCACCACCATCGTCATCACCATCAGCATCATCATCATCGGTATTACCATCACCATTAGCGTCATCAGCATCATCTTCATCACCATCATCATCATCACCAGCATCAGCATGGTCATCCTCAACATCATCAGCATCATCACCATCACCATCATCAGCATCAGCATCAGCATAATCATCAGCAGCACCACCATCATCAGCAGCATCATCGGCATCATCATCACCATCAGCATCAGCATCATCATCAACATCATCAGCAGCATCAGCGTTAGCATCATCATCATTACCATTATCACCATCATCATCACCATCAGCTCCAATATCATCATCAGCACCATCATCATCATCATCACCATCATCATCATCACCATCATTATCATCGTCAGCATCAGCATCAGCATCAGCATCATTACCAGCATCAGCATCACCATCATCACCATCATCATACACATCACCATCACTGGCATCACCATCAGCATCACCATCATCACCATCATCAGCATCATTAGTACTGTCATCGCAATCATCATCAGTATCATCATCAGCATCATCATCATCATAAGCTTCATCAGCAGCATCAGCATTAGCATCGTCATCATCACCATCAGCATCAGCATCATCAGCATCAGCATCATCATCATCATCAACATCATCGTCATCATCCGCATCAGCATCATCATCATCACCATCACCACCAGCATCATCATCTTCAACATCATCACCGTTATCATCCCTATCATCACCATCGTCATCATCACCATCACCATCATCAGCAGCATCATCATCATCACTAGCAGCATCACCTTCAGCATCAGCATCAGCATAAGCATCATCACCCTTATCAGCATCATCATCATCACCATGATCATCATCAGCATCATCACCATCATTATCAGCATCATCATCACCAGTGTCATTATCATCAGTATGAGCATCAGGATCGTCATTACCATCAGCATCAGCATCGTCATCATCATAATCATCACCATCATCATCATCACCACCATCACCATCATTACCATCATCATTACCATCATCCTCACCATCATCATCATCAGCATCATTATCACCATCATCAGCATCATCATACCATCATCATTATCATCAGCATCAGCATCATTATCATCACCATCATCATCCCCATCACCACCATCGTCATCACCATCAGCATCATCATCATCGGTATTACCATCACCATCAGCGTCATCAGCATCATCTTCATCACCATCATCATCACCAGCATCAGCATGGTCATCATCAACATCATCAGCATCATCACCATCACCATCATCAGCATCAGCATCAGCATAATCATCAGCAGCACCACCATCATCAGCAGCATCATCAGCATCATCGTCACCATCAGCATCAGCATCATCATCAGTATCATCAGCGGCATCAGCGTCAGCATCATCATCATCATTCCCATTATCACCATCATCATCACCATCAGCTCAAATATCATCATCATCAGCATCATCATCACCATCATCATCATCATCACCATCATTATCATCGTCAGCATCAGCATCAGCATCAGCATCATTACCAGCATCAGCATCACCATCATCACCATCATCATAAACATCACCATCACTGGCATCACCATCAGCATCACCATCATCACCATCATCAGCATCATTAGTACTGGCATCGCAATCATCATCAGTATCATCATCAGCATCATCATCATCATAAGCTTCATCAGCAGCATCAGCATTAGCATCGTCATCATCACCATCAGCATCAGCATCATCAGCATCAGCATCATCATCATCATCATCAACATCGTCGTCATCATCCGCATCAGCATCATCATCATCATCACCATCACCACCAGCATAATCATCTTCAACATCATCACCGTTATCATCACTATCATCACCATCGTCATCATCACCATCACCATCATCAGCAGCATCATCATCATCACTAGCAGCATCACCTTGAGCATCAGCATCAGCCTAAGCATTATCACCCTCATCAGCATCATCATCATCATCATCATCACCATGATCATCATCAGCATCATCACCATCATTATCAGCATCATCATCACCAGCATCATCATCACCACCATCATCACCGTCATAATCATCACCATCATCAGCATCAGCATCAGCATCGTCAGCGCCATCACCATCAGCATCACCATCAGCATCACCATCAGCATCACCATCTTCATCACCATCAGCAGCAGCATCAGCATCAGCATCAGCATCGTTATCAGCATCACCATCATCACCATCATCATCACCAACATCCATCAC